CTTTTTTTTTTCTTTTTTTTTTTTCAAACAATATCTTTCTTTCTCTCTTCATTCTTTTCTTCCTTCCTTTCTTCCTTCCTTTTGTTCTTTGTTTCTCTCTTTCTCTCTTTCCTTTCTTTCTTTCTTTTAACTTTTTTTTTTTTTCTTCTTTCTTTCTTTGTTTTTTTTTCTTACTTCCTTTTTTTTCGTTTTGCTATTTCTTACAAATGGGAGACAGAGAATCAGAGAGGGAGAAAGAGAGAGAGAGAGAGCGATAGAGAGAGAGAGAGAGAGAGAGAGAGAGAGAGAGAGAGAGAGAGAGAGAGAGAGAGAGAGAGAGAGAGTTCATTATTGTGGGCCACGAACCCATTGAACGAGGTACATAAGTGTGATTTTGGCCCGCAATAGCGAACTCCATACATTTTAGTTTTGTCGGACGGTTCTTTCTTTCTTTGTTTGTGCTCTCTCTCTCTCTCTCTCTCTCTCTCTCTCTCTCTCTCTCTCTCTCTCTCTCTCTCTCTCTCCACATTCTTTCTTTCCTGCGTCTCTGTCTCTCTCACTCCCTCATTCCGACGGATACGTTTGAAACGAATGGTCTGCTTTATACTTGTTAAGTTGTGTTGTCCACTGTTATATCAAGTCATGTACGGGGGAAATGCAGATGTACAGTAATAAATACCAATGTATGTTGCCACGTACATATAGCCAATCTTTGGTAGGCGTCCGCTGACAACAAGTATGAAAGTAGTGAGGGTTTGTCTCTGTCTGTGTGTGTGTGTGTCTCTCTCTCTCTCTCTCTCTCTCTCTCTCTCTCTCTGTATTTCTCTGTATGTACATATATTTCCAGATGTCAAGATTGGCCAAAACCGGACAGAAGAGAAAGTGCACAGCCTAAGAGTGTGATGCAACGACAGATCACTTTCTACTACTGGGGACCAAAGAAGGGAAGACGACTGAGATGGACCGAAACTGGGGTGAGATAGTCGAGAAGCAGCGAGAACATATAGACAGGCTAACAGACGAGGTACATAAGCAGAAACAATTGGCGATACAAATGTCAGATGAACTAGGTCGTATTAAGTCACTGCTCGTAGAAATGACAGAAACTGCGGAACACAGGATGTTCACTATGTTCTGGTTGTTGCTAGACGATCCAAAGTGTTTAGACATAACTCGTCTGAGGAAGGACATGACTGCCAGACTGAAGGCAATAGCTGAAACGAAGACGACCACGTTTGACGAGTTCCAGACATGGTTGGATGGTGAAAGCCGCATGCGCACCACTGTCTTGAATCGGTTCGCTGCCCACGTCACAAAGAGAACTCACAGGGAATCACAAGGACTTGATGTCGCATCTTGTGGCAACCCTGAGAAGTGTGTGCTGAAGGAGGGGTGGGCATCGTATGATAGCCAAGAATATAATACGGGTTCGCTAACTGCTTCGTCACGCAGTGTTGTCGACCTCTTGGTCTTCGCAGCAGACTGTATTTGCCACTGTAAGAAAACTGTAGACGAGTACGCTCTCTATGATGAGGGTGTCGCGATTGGTAAGGATGACCTTCCTTGTTATATGACGTCTCTGTTGAACGGTTGCTCGGACGTCATTGATGCCCTGCAACACACACGAGGTAGGTTGTTGGATGGCGAAATAACGGTGACTTGTGCAAATGAAGTTGTCATGGGAAGTGCAGAAGATGAAAGGACGAAGGCAGGTGAAGACATCGACACAACAATGCAAACCTCCACAGGAATTGGGACCACTGTCGGGGCCTGCGCGCCTGCACCGCATGCCGTGCTGGCGTGCACCGATGTTGCCACACTAAATTGTCACCACGTTCGTCACAACTTCCCATGTGTCGTCGCTAGCAAAGCACCTTGTGCTGATGCACAATCTGTTGCGCTCCTTATGACGACGGACACATTTCAAAAGTTCGTTGCAAAAACGAATTCGCGACAAATGGCGAGGCTGGTTGCGGACTGTCTGTTCCATCTCATATCGTACATCAAAGAGATAATGGTACAGGTCGTAACAAACGCAAGCCAGCATGGATGAAATAACGAATGTGAGCATTGCAGGAAAGGACTTCACATCAACGACCGCTTAAAAACTCTCTACACAATGTCAAATCGTGGCTGTGCGGGTGGTCAGGGACGCGTGATCTCTCTCTCTCTCTCTCTCTCTCTCTCTCTCTCTCTCTCTCTCTCTCTCTCTCTCTCTCACACACACACACATACACACACACACACACACACACTATTATGTATGTTTATTGCTGCCTGTATTACAACTTCTTCGTCCACACTTTTCTGTCTATAACGTTCGCAGCCTTTTTCCGTATTGACATAGTTGTGGTTCACTACTGTGTGCCATGTCACTGTCCACCGCTGCTGTTTGTTGTCGTTCTGGCCCGCACTTGTGAACCGCCATCTGTCGTTGCGTTTTTCCCTGTCCAACAGCATAAGGTTCACTACTGCGGGCAAAATATCTGTCTCGCATGAGATGTTTGTTGGAGTTGTGGCCCGCAGTAGTGAACCTGTCGGTGTTGCTGCATCTTTGCGTTTCCAACTACTTGTGGTTCACTACTGCGTGCCATATCAGTATCAACCGGTGCTGTTTGTTGTCGTTCTGGCCCGCAGTAGTGAACCGCTCTCTGTCGCTGCGTTTTTCCCTGTCCAACAGCATGAGGTTCACTACTGCGGGCCAATGCCTGTCTCGCATGAGATATTTGTTGGAGCTGGCCCGCAATAGTGAACCTCTCGGTCGTGCTGCGTCTTTGCGCTTCCAGCTACTTCTGGTTCACTACTGCGTGCCATATCAGTGTCAACCGGTGCTGTTTGTGTTCGTTCTGACCCGCAGTAGTGAACCGCTCTCTCTCTCTCTCTTTCCCTGTCCAACATCATGAGGTTCACTAGTGCGGGCAAATGCCTGTCTCGCATGAGATATTTGTTGGAGTTCTGATCCGCAGTAGTGAGCCTCTCGGTCGTGCTGCGTCTTTGCGTTTCCAACTCCTTGTGGTTCACTGCTGCGTGCCATATCAGTGTCAACCGGTGCTGTTTGTTGTCGTTCTGTCTGTCTCCAGTAGTGAAACGTTGTCTGTCGATGCGTCTTTCCCTGTCCAACATCATGAGGTTCACTACTGCGGGCCAGTGCCTGTCTCGCATGAGATATTTGTTGGAGTTGTGGCCCGCAGTACTGAACCTGTCGGTGTTGCTGCGTCTTTGCGTTTCCAACTACTTGTGGTTCACTACTGCGTGCCATATCAGTGTCAACCGGTGCTGTTTGTTGGCGTTCTAGCCCGCAGTAGTGAACCGCTCTCTGTCGCTGCGTCTTTCCCTGTCCAACATTATGAGGTTCACTATTGCGGGTCAATGCCTATCTCGCATAAGATGTTTGTCGGAGTTTTGGCCCGCGGTAGTGAACCTCTCTCTCTCTCTCTCTCTCTCTCTCTCTCTCTCTCTCTCA